AGCCCAGATCTGCCCTGCTGCCCCCCTACCCAGCCCAGATCTGCCCTGCTGCCCCCCTACCTAGCCCAGATCTGCCCTGCTGCCCCACTCCCAAGAAACACCAAGGCCCAATCTCCTTCCTGTCCACAAACCCTCAACCTTTCCAAGGCAACCTTGGCTGGGGCGAGGGCAAGAGGTCTGTACAAGATAGACAATCGCTGGACTGCTGAGAAATGGGGCTTACGTCACACAGCTTACTGTCTACATTAATGTGACTTCACTCTTCCTCTGTCTACACCAATCTAACTTTACAGCTCCTGAACACTGTGTTGGAGTGGGCACAGAGGATGACCTAGGGCCCAGCACCTGCCTCACTGGGGACATCTGGCCCCAGCCTCAACCTGGCTGTTTCTGGCCTTCGACCCCAACAGAGAAAGAGAGAATCAGGACCAGGGCACAACCAGAACACTCAAGAGAGCAAAATACTGGTCTCAGATGCCCCGCAATAAGGGATGAGCCGGGAGGAAGATGATCACTGGCCACTCCCCCACCTCCTCCAAATAACACACATAAGCACAAATAACCTTCCAATTCATTCCAGAAACACCCATCAACTCTTCAACAGGAAGCATCAGCTGACACCTCTCGCCTCAAAATCCACACCCTGCTATGCCCACCAATCCTTAACATGGGCGATCACATGATGACCCCAACCCAATCTTAACCAACCCCCATGTTGAATGATCCACCTTAAACCAGACTTCAAAATCTTAGCAGATCTCCCCACCCTTCCTGCCCTCTGAGATGCTACTAAGGCTTTCCAAGACAGTGCTGCCTCGCCACAGAAAGCAACAAGCCCAGCCTATCTCGGCAACAGGCTGTTGCGGTGGTATTCTGGGGAGCAGCACGCCACGCTGCCTGCAGACCCCGGCTCACTCAGCCTACCTCTGGCAAGAACGGGCTACATGAGCTGGGGTCTGCAGGCAGCGTGGCATGCTGCTCGCCAAAATGTGGACAGGAATACTGTTAGAAAGGCCGCTGTTTGCTGAAGGTCAGCGGGCTGGGAAGTGATTCCTGCATCCCTGGTGCCAGCAGCAGAGGCTGGGCGCCTTTGAAAGCCTGTGGATTTCCAAATGCAGGCAAGGGCTCCATCTGGTGGCCGTCTGTGGAGGAGCAACCCGCCCTGGCCTCAGAGCCCTGGGGCACCGTTCTCAGGAGACAGGGCCTCCAAGTCCTGGGGTGGCTGTCTAGGTTCAGCAGTCCACACCCATGCCCACCCAGCCCTGCTCACCTCTTCCCTGAAGGGCAAGGGAGGCACAGTGGGGTCCAAGCGGAACATGTCCTCGCACAGCAGGGCTCGCAGGCACAGCGCCAAGCTCTCCACGTCCCGGGCCATGGGGCCCACAGAGGGGCGCACTGTGAGGCAGAGAGGGGAGGGAAGTAAGCAGACAAGGAGGGAGGAATCCAGACCTAGAGCAGCCTGGGGGCCAGACACTGCCCTGCCACCTGAGAAGCATGGGCGCAAGCGGGTCAGGCCGACCCCCACCCTCCTAGGGGAGAGCACCATGGACCTCACCTGCCTCCTGTCCATAGACACAGCCCTTCAGGCCACTCTTGCTGGATAAGAAACATAAGATGCTGGAAACAGGAAACGGCCACCCGCCGCCATCCCCACACCCACAGAGCAGCTCTGAACACTTACCGCTTTGGAAACTAGGACCCATGCCCAGCCAGTGGTACTGTAATGCTTCCTCCCAGCAAAACCCCGGAGACCGAATCCCTGCCTGGAGCCCAGAGAGGTTGGAAGCTAGGCCAAGGTCACACAGCAAGGGGCCCAGAAGCGCCCTCCACCCACCCTACCTGAGGCGGTTCCCCGTGGGCTTGAGGCCGCAGATGCCGCAGAAGGAGGAGGGGAAGCGGATGCTGCCTCCCATATCAGTGCCTAAGCCCAGGGGGGAGCCTCCAGACCCGATGAGGGCCCCTTCACCCCCTGAGGAGCCCCCTGGGCTTTTGGAGGACTTCCATGGGTTCACGGTCTGGCCAAAGAGGGGGTTACTGCAGTCATAGCTGGAGGAGGCAAGAACGGGTCAGCCCCTGTCATGCTGGGACCGGTGCCCCTGCCCCACCCCGCCCCAAGACCCAACCTGAACATGGACTGGGGCACATTGGTGTGCACGAAGGGCACGGCACCCTGCAGCTTCAGCACATGCACCACCACACTGTCGCACTCCGCCGGCGCCCCTTCGTTCAGGCTCAAGCCCAGCGTGGAGTCCTGGCCCTGGGAGGAGGGATGGGCACCAAAAGGGACATGATCTGTGAGTCACAGCCTGTGGGCAGCCCAGGGCCAACTCTAACAGCTGTCACACAGGCCAAGACAGGTATACCAGTGTCCCCTCGCAAGGCCTTTGGACATGATACCTCCTCTGAGGGCCCAAAATGATCCAAGATACAAAGCAGGCTGGCAGGGATGGAGGCGACAATGGAGGCCTGGTGCTGAGGCAGAGCATACCTTGTAGGTGAAGCACTCCTTGAGGCTCACAGGGACGCCATAGAGCAGGCCCTGCCTTGGGGCCTGGGACAGCTGAGTCTCACAGTCAGCCAGATAGGATGTCACACAGTTGGTCCCTTTGTTCACCTCCCAAGCCTGAGGAAGGGGAAGTAGACATAAGGTAAAAGGAGGCTGGCCTTTTTAAAACATTGTGGTGAAATATACATCATATAGAACTGGCCTTTTAAAGTATACCCAGGGAGAGGGGAACCAGCAACATGGCCCAGAGCCTGGGGCACAGAGGATGACCTAGGGCCCGGCATCTGCCTCACTGGTGACATTTGGCCCAGGCCTCATCCTGGCTGTCTCTGGCCTTCAACCAGGACCAGGGCACAACCAGGACACTCAAGGGAGCAAGATACTGGCCTCAGATGCCCCCCAGGCAGGGGGTGAGCTGGGAGGAAAATGATCACTGGCCACTCCCCCACCTCCTCCAAGCCACATCTCTGCCCAGTGAGGCAGACAGAAACCAGACAGGGGCAGCCCTCGTCACTGGTCACACTGAAGGGCGCCACAGAGCAGGGCTAGACCAGACTCCTGCCTCCCGGAGCCCAGCACTCTCTCCTCTACCCCACGCCTTCCCCACACGTAGCCCAGTCAAGCCTCCCCTTACCCAGGAACTCTTGAATTTGATAATCAAGTTACATGGAGTAGGAGCTTGACAAAAGGGAAGAACATGCTAATAGCGGAAATCTGCCTACAATGCTCAAACCGCACCACACAGGGTCCTACAGAAGGAAAGGTGAGGGCGGAGTGGGATGCAGCTTTCAGTAAATACTCCTACTCCTGGGGGTCATCTGGGGGAAACAGGGTGGGCTGTGTTGCCATATTTGGGCATGTGCAAAATCTGTCCCTGGGGTACCCGAGGCAGGAACAGAGAAGGCCAATCTAACCAGATTGACTAGATTAACTAGGAAGGGCAGGAGCCTTTTCAGGGACATTGACAGGGAAGAAGCAAGACCATCTGCTGAGACTGTGTATGTGCCCCTCTCAGTGACACCAGCCCAGCATGCTCTCGCTCCCTCAGCTGCAGCCCCCACAGCATTGTCACATACACTGCACCCAGACAATTCACCTGCCTAGGGGTCACATACGCCCTTTCAAGAAATCATGCAGGCCACACTCACAAAGCACAATTTGTCTCTCCCTCTTTCCTCCCTCCCTCCCTTTCTTTTCAAGCATATTTCTTGAGCATTTATTATGTGAGATGCAACATGTTGAGCACTAAGTTTCAAAGACAAATAGATAAGCTCTGTCCACAAAGACCCCACATGGGAAAGAGATAGAGAAGACAAGCCTGACATTGTGATGAGAAATGTGCTGTTAGAATGAGAGCAGGCCTGGAAGAGGAAACCCTGCCTCAGGCGGCGAATGGAAGATGGTGCCTCCTGCTTTGAGCCCTGAAGGCTCAGCCAGGGGAGTCCATGGCACGGAGAGGGGCAAAGAAGAGGGAAACAGCCTTCCAGGTAAAGGAGCCCCACCCAAGCCAGTGCAGAGCTGCTGACACCCCAAGCTCCAGAAGGCCTTGTCCAGAGGTGATGCCACACACAGAGGAGGAGTACAAGAGATGGCCTGAAGAGCTGGGGACACAAGAGGGCACTGACCAGGAGGATGGTGCTTGGGAATGGAGGGAGATGGTGGTGGCAGGCCAGGGTGGCCAAAGGGGATGGATATAGGAGAGGGCTGGGTAAAAGAACAGGCCAGGTGCGGTGGCTCTCGCCTATAATCCCAGCACTTTCAGAGGATCACCTGAGGTCAGGAGTTCCAGACCAGCCCGGCCAAATAAAAATACAAAAATTAGCCAGGCATGGGGGTGCACGTCTATAATCCCAGCTACTCGGGAGGCTGAGGCATGAGAATCACTTGAACCCGGGAGGTGGAGGTTGTAGTGAGCCAAGAACATGCCACTGCACTCCAGCCTGGGTGACAGAGCGAGACTCCCATCTCAAAAAAAAAGAAGGGGCCGGGGATGGTGGCTCACACCTGTAATCCCAGCACTTTGGGAGGCCGAGGCGGGTGGATCACCTGAGGTCAGGAGTTCGAGACTAGCCTGATCAACATGGTGAAACCCCGTCTCTACTAAATACAAAAAATTAGTCGGGGCCCAGGCAGAGTGGCTCACAGCTGTAACCCCAGCACTTTCGGAGGCCGAGGCAGGTGGATCACTGGAGGTCAGGAGTTCCAGACCATCCTGGCCAACATGGTGAAATCCTGTCTCTACTAAAAATACAAAAATTAGCTGGATGTGGTGGCGAGTGCCTGTACTCCCAGCTACTCGGGAGGCTGAGGCAGAAGAATCACTTGAACCCGGGAGGTGGAGGCTGCAGAGAGCCGAGATCGCGCCACTGCATTCCAGCCTGGGCGACAGAGCGAGACTCCGTCTCAAAAAAAAAAAAAAAAAAAAAAAAAAAGTTTTAATTAGCCTGGCGTAGTGGCCCAAGCCTGTAATCCCAGCTACTTGGGAGGCTGAGGCGGAGAATTGCTTGAACCCAGGCGGTGGAGGTTGCAGTGCGCCAAGATTGCGCCATTGAACTCCAGCCTGAGCAACAAGAGCGAAATTCCTCTCAAAAAAAAAAAAGGGAACAGACCAGAGACTTGTTGACCAATGGGGTGGAGGTGGGAGGGAGAGGGAAGTCTGGGCTAAAAGCCAGGTTACTAGCTAAGACAGCATGCTCAGTGTCACATACACACACACAGACACACACACACATACACACACACGCTCTGGTTCCTTCCTTCCCTGGCAGTCCCTGGCACTGTAGGTCCCACCATGGCACCCAGCAGGACTAATTCCCAGGCCAGGTTTTCTCACTAACTCCAGGCCAAGTTTTCTCCACAGCCTATGCAGAGAGTGGGAGGGGAAAGGGAGGAGCTGGCCTTGGCTGGCCTTACCTTTCCCACATAGGTGAAAAGCACGGCCTCAGGGGAGAGCTCTCCATTGTGTAACTTCTGCACCAGCTGAGGCAGGGGCAGGGCTAGCAGCGCCTCTGAGTCCAGGTCTGGGTTCTGTGGGGGACAAACTCGGATCAGTCCCCTACTCACCGAAGTCTCATGAGCCTGTAGCAGACACCAGTGGCCCATGCCTCAGCAGCTCTGGCATGGCCCAGCCTGGGCAGGCCCTTGTTTGCCATCCCTAGAGAAGGCAGTTCTATCTCCTCCAGAAGCCTGTTGAAGTGGTGCCCAGCGAGCCGACCTGCCCAGGTATTTTTTTTTCCCCCTTAGAGACAGGGTCTGGCTGTGTTGCCCAGGCTAGACTCGAACTCCTGGGCTCAAGCGATCCTCCCACTTCAGCCTCCCCAGTAGCTGGAACTACAGGCACATGCTACTGTGCCTAGCTCCAGACTGATGATTAAACCACTACAAATATACACCAGCAGTGGCTGCCTTCTGTGTGCCAAGCACCACGCTGATGTCATCCATGTTTTGATTAAGTCTTACTGCCATTCCCATTACACAGATAAACTGAGGCTCAGAGACAGGTGCCTTCTTGCCCGCCAGCCATCCACCTGCACCTGACCCCATGCCATCCCCACACCCACAGAGCAGCTCTGAACACTGCCCAGGGGGTTGCCAACCTCTAGCAGGGAAGGGCAAAAACAAGAAGACCCCATATTGGAAGGCTGGGTCTGCGACTGAAGGCCACACCCCAAAAGGGAGTGTTTCCACATTCATTCCACAGATGTGTGTTAGGCGCCTGCTCCGTACCCAGCACCACATTAGGCTGAGGTTCAGCCATGAACAAGAAGGCATGTCCAAGTGAGCTCACACAGGGCAGGGGCGGGGTGAGCAGATGACAGGCAAACAGATGAGGTTTTAGACAATGAGAAATAAAGACAATAAAACAGAGTGTGGTGAGTGGGTGGCACATGGGAAGGATGGAGAGGGAGGAGCTCTCCCCAGGAGGAGGCACATTTGGGCAAATGCAGGCAGACCTCTGTCTGCCAGGCCTCAAGGGCTCCCAGAGTCTCTGGGGTCAGCCTGACTGCAAACACCCATCCAGTTCCTCCTTCCTCCTTCCCCAGGGCATTGGGTTTGTTTTTGTCTGTTTGTTTCAATAATTTATTTATTTTTTCGAGATAGAGTCTTGCTCCGTCACCCAGGCTGGAGTGCAGTGGTGTGATTTTGGTTCACTGCAACCTCCGCCTCCTGGATTCAACCAATTCTCCTGCCTCAGCCTCCGAGTAGCACCTGCCACCATGCCTGGCTAACTTTTTGTATTTTTAATAGAGACAAGGTTTAGCCATGTTGGCCAGGCTGGTCTCGAACTCCTGACCTCAAGTGATCTGCCCCCACCTTGGCCTCCCCAAGTGCTGGGATTACAGGTGTGAGCCACCGTGCACGGCCTCTCCTCAAGGGTATTGGGTTAGTGAGTAAACACTGAGTTGGCCAGGCGGGCTCATTCCTGTAATCCCGGCACTTTGGGAGGCCGAGATGGATGGATCACTTGAGGTCAGGAGTTCAAGACCAGCCTGGCCAACATGGTGAAACTCCGCGTGTCTACTAAAAATACAAAAATTAGCCGGGCGTGGTGGTGCACACTTGTAATCCCACCTACTCGGGAGGCTGAGGCAGGAGAATCGCTTGAACCCGAGAGGCGGAGGTTGCAGTGAGCCGAGATCACGCCACTGCACTCCAGCCTGGGTGACAAGAGCAAAACTCAGTCTCAAAAAAATAAAAATAAAAAATAAAAAACACTGAGTCATAGCCACCATATCTCACCCCACCCTCCCCTGCTCTTGTCAAGGTCACCAGAGACTTCCTTGTTGCTAAACTCAACAGATACTTGCCTCTTTATCTTACTCCATATCACTGAGACCTTTGAAAGTACTGAGGCCACACGCCTGCTCTCTTCAATTCTTCCTGGACCTGGAGACACTACACTGTCCTGGTTTCCCTCTGCTTCTCTGCTACTGCTTCTGTCACTCATTTATGTAGTGAGTCAACAAACATGTTCCAGAAATCTACTGTATGGCAAGGACCAGGTTAGGGGCTATGCATCTAGAGGTAACCAAGACAGACATGGCCCCTTTTCAGAGACTACATTCAAGAAAATAAACAAATTAAATAATAGATAGATCATGCGTGATACATGTGAGACAGCAGAGAAATGGAGTGCTGTGACAAAAATGACAGGGCACTGACTTAGGGTGGGCAGGCCTATCTGAAGAAGCCACGTGTCAGCTGTGATTTGAAGGATAAGAAGATGCCAGATGTGGGGAGAGACAGAGCTCTGGGTACCTTCTCTTCCCTCTCTGATTCTGGGAGAGGGCCTCCCCTCCTTCTGCTTCCACTCCTCCCACCCCCCAAGCCCTGCTTCTACTCCTCCCCTCCCCCTCCTCCCCCTCCTCCCCTGGCCTGCTTCCCCTCCTCCCCTTCCTACTTCCTCTCCTTCCCTCCCCCATTTACCCTCCTCCCCTCTACCCTTCCCCTCCTCCCCTCCCCTGGCTTCCCCTCCTCCCCTCTGCCCTTCCCTTTCTCCCCTCCCCTGGCTTCCCCTCCTCCCCTCTACCCTTCCCCTCCTCCCCTCCCCTCTTACCCTCCTCCCCTACCCTGGCTTCTACTCCTCCCCTATGCACCTCTGACTCCAGGCTCTCCACCCATCCCATATCCCCCAGATCCCCTACCCAGCCTGAGGCAATGGAGCCCAAACCAGCTCACTGGGCTATTCCTGTCACCTGTCCACCTTCCCTGTCCTTCCTCTAAGCTCATCACCTGCCCGACTTTCAACCATCTCCTCCTTGTGTATCCTGTACCCTGTACTCAGGGGAGGCCACGCCATTCATCCAGATGTTCAGGAAAGGAAACAGGTGTCCTTCTGGTGCCTCCCTTTCACCCCCACCTGCATCCAGTCACCAAGCTAAGTAGCTCTGAAAAATGGTCAACTCTCCATCCCCTCAACCAAGGCCCTCACCAGGCCTCAGACTCATCCTTATCACCTGGGTCACACGGGGCCACCCAACTGCTGCCCTGCCCAGGTCCTGCCCCTTCAGTCCACACTTCCCTTGATGGCCACACAGTGCAAAACCCAACCAGGCCTTGCCTCTCCCCTTCAAATCCCCATCTCATCACACCACAGGCTCCAGAGCATATTCCAGGAGGTGCTTCCAAGCTGTGTTCCTCTCAGACTCCTGTGCACCTCTCTCCCCACCCAGGGACCACTGCCCCCTTCCACCCCCCACACCCCAGAGCCTGGTGCCCGCCCTCTCCAAGCACATGCCACAGCCTCTGCCCCTGATGTCCTCAGTATCAGGAGCACTTCCCTGAATTCATTGAACTGATACAACACTTAGTTTGGATTTTTTTTCTAACACAGGGAGCTACAAAGAAGAAAAAAATGGGTTCAAGATTTCTCCCCAAACACACCAGATAATCCTCTTGATATATTTTTTAAAGGTATACAAAATGAAAAGTGAGCACTCCCTCCACCCCTGCTTCCCCTTGCACAGTCCCTCCTCTATAAAGGAAAACTATAATTAACAGTTTCCGGTGTAATCTTACAGGAAAAGAAAATATTTATGAAAAACCTACCATGTCAACAGTTGTCTATATATATATTCCTTTTTACACAAAGGAATCATACTATACACACAGTACTGCATCTTGACTTTCCCATCTCACAATGAAAATTAAATTTTTGCTTTATTTTTGTTCTCATATAAATATAGGTTCACTGTGTTTTTTAAAATGCCTAAGAGTATGGAGAAGGATGTCGAAATCAGCAGAGCATTCACCACCCTGGGGTAATTGCCACCCGACAGTCCGGTCACCATCTCCCATCACCATCACCTTGTAGTGAACAAGGTGCCCAGAGAGTCCCTGTGCATGGCAGCTAGCACCTATCAACATGCTCCCCTACGTGCTCAGCACACATTTTCATTCTTTCCTATGTTGTTCCCCGTTGACAGTTAATGACACAGTTGCTAACAGCTATTTTTAAATCTTCAACTAGTGTCAGGCAGCTGAGACATTTTCTCCTAGACAACAAAGTAAGTCTGCACCTCCAGGAGGCCAATCAGTGAACATGTGGAAACCTGATTTTGTGGAGAATGCAGGGAAGTATAGTATACAGGTAACGTCTAAACCTGTGGCCACCTGCATGCACAATTTTTCAAGAGAGGGATACTCTACCAATCACTTAGGGGGCATCGCCCCTCCTCCATCTGTGTTGTTTTCTCTGCTGAACCACAGTGCCAGCGGGATTGATAAGCGGGTTATAGGAGATGTGGGAAAAAACATTCAGGGTAAAACAAAAGTGCATGTACAAAGGCATAAGGGCATAAATAGGTGTTCTGTGATGTCTCTCCCAGCTATACTATTCTATTGATGGTGGTCCTTCTCTTCAGTCTAGAAAAAGATACCAAAACTTATTCAGGGGACAGGGTGGGGAAAAAAATGGGTCAACAGAATTACCAGAAACACACCTTTCTCTAGAGTTGCCCAAGAGTTCAGAGAGAGGTGAACTATTTTGTGAAAATGCAGGTGTTTAGGTACCCCCTCATCCAGCTGTGTCCTCCTTGGACACAGCTAAGAATCCGGGAGTGGTGGCTTACACCTGTAATTCCACCCCTTTGGGAGGCCGAGGCAGGCAGATCACCTGAGGTCAGGAGTTCGAGACCAGCCTAGCCAACATGGTGAAACCCTGTCTCTACTAAAAATGCAAAAATTAGCTGATGTAGTGGCAGGCATCTGTAGTCCCAGCTACCCAAGGAGGCTGAGGCAGGAGAATCACTTGAACCCAGGAGGCAGAGCTTGCAGTGAGCCGAGATTGCACCAGTACACTCCAGCCTGGGCAACAAAGTGAGAATCCATCTCAAAAAAAAAGAGAGTTCAAGACCAGCCTGGCCAACGTGACGAAACCATTTGTACTAAAACTACAGAAATCAGCCAGGCATTGGCCAGGCGCGGTGGCTCATGCCTGTAATTCCAGCACTTTGGGAGGCTGAGGCGGGTGGATCCTGAGGTCAGGAGTTCGAGACCAGCCATGGCCAACATGATGAAGCTCCGTCTCTACTAAAAATACAAAAATTAGCCAGCCATAGTGGCGGACGCCTGTAATCCCAGCTACTCGGGAGGCTGAGGCAGGAGAATCGCTTGAACCTGGGAGATGAAGGTTGCAGTGAGCCGAGATCGCACCATTGCACTCCAGCCTGGGCGACAGAGCAAGATTCCGTCTCAAAAAACAAAAAAACAAAATACAAAAAACAAAACAAAAAATCTTACTCCTCCTTCAAAGCCTACAAAGCTATTGTCAATCAGGACCCTGCCCCTTTGCTGATTACTCAAAACCACAGTCATTGGAAACCCAAAAGGTAATTTTCCGCTTCTCCTCCGGAAAGAGCCAAGTTTCAGAGCCAAAACTTCTGTCTGGAATAATCTGCTCGTAAAAATAATGAAGAGCAGTTGCTCCAGAGGAAAACCATACAGATGCTGCTGTTTGGAGTTGAAGTGCAGGAAGACCCATCCTGCTACCATCCCACACCCCTGCTAGCCAGGTGGATTCCTTGGAACCAGGAGGGGAGTTCTGCAGGCAAGAACTGTGAGCATATCCCTGCTAGTGCTGCCCACGCCGCTCTTGGAGCTGGCAGAACTCAGCTGGCTGCACAGAGCCAGGGATAAACAGGAGGATCTCTAAGGAGGGCCTCCAGAGCCCAGCCAGAGAGGGCAACTAGACAGTGAAGAACCTGTGCTTGTGTAGGGGAGATGGCCAATTTGGGTTGACCACCAGGGCCCTCCCACTAAGAAACCCTAAAAATGGACTGATGGTGGACTTTTCAGCCAGCTTGGTGAGTGGAGGCTGGAACCAGATATATTTTTTATCTTACTAAATAAATATGAGATATCTTTGCCCCAGGGATGGTTTGGAGTAAATTAATACATTACAGCCAGCCAAAACCACAACACGTGTGGGGAAAAGAAAGAGATCAGACTGTTTCTGTGTCTATGTAAAAAGAAGTAGACATAAAAAACTCCATTTTGTTCTGTACTAAGAGAAATTCTTCTGCCTTGAGATGCTGTTAATCTGTAACCCTAGCCCCAACCCTGTGCTCGCAGAAACATGTGCTGTGTTGACTCAAGCTTTAATGGATTTAGGGCTGTGCAGGATGTGCTTTGTTAAAAAAGTGTTTGAAGGCAGTATGCTTGGTAAAAGTCATTGCCATTCTCCAATCTCAAGTACCCACGGGTACAATGCACTGCGGAAGGCCGCAGGGACCTCTGCCCAAGAAAGCCAGGTATTGTCCAAGGTTTCTCCCCACTGAGACAGCCTGAGATACGGCCTCGTGGGAAGGGAAAGACCTGACCGTACCCCAGCCCGACACCCGTAAAGGGTCTGTGCTGAGGAGGATTAGTGAAAGAGGAAGGCCTCTTTGCAGTTGAGATAAGAGGAAGGCATCTGTCTCCTGCTCCGCCCTGGGAATGGAATGTCTGAGTGTAAAACCCAATCATACGTTCTATTTACTGAGATAGGAGAAAACCGCCTTATGGCTGGAGGTGAGACATACTGGCAGCAATACTGCTCTTTACTGCACTGAGATGCTTGTGTAAAGTCAAGCATAAATCTGGCCTACATGCACATCAAGGGACAGAACCTTTCCTTAAACTTATTTATGACACAGAGTCCTTTGCTCACATGTTTTCCTGCTGACCCTCTCCCCACCATTACCCTATAGTCCTGCCACATCCCCCTCACCGAGATGGTAGAGGTAGTGATCAATAAATACTGAGGGAACTCAGAGACCAGTGCCGGCGCGGGTCCTCCGTGTGCTGAGCGCGGGTCCCCTGGGCCCACTGTTCTTTCTCTATACTTTGTCTCTGTGTCTTATTTCTTTTCTAAGTCTCTCGTCCCACCTGACGAGAAATACCCACAGGTGTGGAGGGGCTGGCCCCCTTCAATGCAAGGCTACACCCTGGGCTGGCATGCAAGGGTGCCTTCCTCATATCTCTCTCCTGTTCCTCTTCATGAAAGTGTGGCTGAAGAGTGCAGCCAGGGACCTAGGTTCTAGTTCCAGCTCTGCCCCAAATCAAAAATCACTTGCGGAACATCTGCTGAACACAATTTTCTGTGACTCTTTCTGTCTCCCACCCAGGCACACCCTCTTGAATCCTGCAGTTCCCAACCTGGAAAGCCTTCCCACCTGTCAGGTCCCACACACAGCAAGCCCTCCCTCTCTCAGCACATAAGGCCACTTCCCAGAGTTCAGCATGTTGGCTTTACCTGGGGTCTGTGCTTCACACATCCGGAGGAAAAGCCCCTCTTCAAGCCACGTCTTCCAAACCCTCAGCCAGGCCCTTCCACGTCCCAAAACCCACATACTGAGGTGATCCAGAGGCAGTGCAGGGAGAAGAAAAGTTTGTTGACAGACCACCCAGGGAGGGCTGGAACTGAACCTGCTCATGGAAAGGGTTTGCCAGGGGTTGGACACCACAGGCCGGCAGCAGAAGCCAGAGAGACTTCCCTTCTAGCCTGGCTTTGCTAAGATCTCCCTGTGCACTTGGCAAGTTTCTGTCTGGCTCACTCTTAGGATCCAAATGCACAAATCAAGAAGCTTGAAAACTCGGCCGGGCGCGGTGGCTCACGCCTATAGTCCCAACACTTTGGGAGGCCGAGGCAGGTGTATCAACTGAGGTCAGGCATTCGAGACCAGCCTGGCCAACATGGTGAAACCCAGTCTCTACTAAAAATGCAAAAATTAGCCGGGCATAGTGGCGGGCCCCTGTAATCCCAGCTACTGGGGATGCTGAGGCAGGAGAATCGCTTGAACCCGGGAGGCAGAAGTTGCAGCAAGCCGAGATGGCGCCACTGCACTCTTGCCTGGGAGTCGGAGCGAGACTCCGCCTCAAAAAACAAACAAACAAACAAACAAACAAACAAAAAAACAAAAAAAAAAACACCTCTAAGCTCTCCAGATTCCCTTGGCCATTACACTCTGCGATTCCAAAGTCCTCAACCCCTAGCATCCTACTGGTTGTCACGCTTGGGTTTTCGCATTCCAATAGGCAGTAAGATTCTTTGGCACAAAGCAAAACTCCTCTTTGACCCAGTGAGGGGAAGGCCTCTTCCACGACCTGCCTTGACACTATCGTTTCCTTTCCTCCCCCTGGCTCTACCTGGCTTAGAAAGTGCGGAATATCTTAGGGCGAGGAGAGATTCTGGAAAGCTACACATCTGCTCTGCCCGCCCGCCCCCCTGTCCCTCCGCGGGTCTGGCGGCTGAAAGTGCTGCTGCGTGTACCCTCAGGCCGCGCCCACCCCACCACTCTCAGGCAGTCACCTGGAGCCGGAAGCGCTGCGCCGCCTTGTCCATGTTCTCCAGGCACGCTCGCTGCCTCTGTCGCGCCCGGG